GCATGCATAGTATACAACATATTTATGCATGCGCAGTACACAGGCCATGTGTATACTAGTCAATTGATCCCACTGTTTCACTACCACAGATACACCATTTCTGTTTGGCAAACGGCTAATAGCGCACTGAGTCTGTACAACACATCGTATGAATACGTTGTGCTAGAGGTTCTGAAGCGGCAGACACCGAAGTATCTCCCTGGCGATCTCACGCGCTGGTACCGGTATGTTCTTGTTGCTACACCGGTATGTATTCACAGCTATATCGGTACACGAATCTGTATGTGAACCAATTGCGCTTATCTGTCGCCGTCTTTCTTTGTTTTATTTGGCGGGTATCCTCGACCACCCACTATCTATGTCTTATTCATGCCGAAGTATGCAAGTGGTGCGAAGGGGTTCGGACGAGTAGGGCTGGTTTGAGCTATGTCTATTTTCTTATCGAATAGTCTCATGCGTATATGGCCATGTGCTGGTGGTGACTCGGGCTCGTTTTGTCACTCTATCTCGCTCTCTCACAAACCATGTATAGCTGGTGAGGAGTATGCAACCTTCATGGAAAGTTCTGCATTTCATACTCTTAAACGCCCCTTATGCCTTGTTCGTTCACTTCGATTTCCAGAGGAATAGGCACCGTTGGCCCATACCTCACCCGCTGGAGGTGAGTCCGTCAAATGATTTGTTTGATTCCAAATGTACCTGTTGTATCTGCTAGTACGTACTAGTATATATTATGTTTTGGTATGTACGTCGATGTGCGAGTATACAGTATGCACAGCCGTGTTTGGAGCTGTATAAGTCACGCTCTGATCGATATCTGAGCATCTCACAAACCCTCTGCATGCGAGGACTGATTAATCTGGACGAATGGTATTTGAGATTAAGTTCCAGGGCGTGCGATTGGCTCTGCACTGGCCTAAGATCCTCATCGCAAATCCTCCACAGTCTGTCCCTTTGCTGCATATGAAAATTTGTTTGTTCAGCTAGTAGATTTGGAATGCGCACGACTCAATCTGTGAATCATCCCACAACTGATGATACATGTTTACTCACCTAGATATTTGGACTTATTATTTACTGTACACCCTCTAGGTCACTTATGCTATGTAGCTCAACCCCCAAAACTCGCTTATGTATCTGATCCGAAACTTTAAAACTCTAAAAAAAAACTTAAAAAAACCCCTATCCTCCAGGACACTTATGTACCGCTTAGACAAGGCCACCAACAATCTGGATATCTTGGAGAAGCTCAATTTTATCGGTGAGATGTGCATAACACTGCTTGGTCGTAGAAATTGGCGTGTCTTAGTAGCATTATACTGTTAATTCAGTTAGTATAAACTTGTCTTGTGGCCGATTCAATTTATAATCACGTGGTATCCTTGTATGTTTTATGATTATGGTTTAAATTCATTAAGAGTTTGATAGATTTGACTCTATGCAAATTGTAACGGGGCACTTCGTGCTTTTGTTTCAGGTTTCATTATCGTCAGTTCTAATCCAGCTAACCCTGTTCGTGATGCTACACAAGCTTCTGGTTATAAAGTGTATTGCATTTATGTAACATTTGTCTAGTCATTGATGATTTGCATTGTCAATTTGCCTGCCATTTGCTCGATTAAAGGTACAGTCACCTTATTCAATGCACTGGCCTGCAATACTTCCGAATGTACTACGTCTCTCTGTGTATTGCATAGTTGAGCCTGGGCTCCTGGCATCTGCTCTTGGCAATGATTTTCGATACTGGACAATGACTTTCGATACTGGAATTGGCAGTTGACACTATACTTCGGTACTTATTAATCGACACCTAGAAAATGACAATATCAGCTGATGTAAAAGATTTAGCATTGGCATTTGACACCTAATAATTGACATCTAAACCGTTGGCAATTGGTTGTTCACACTGCGCAGTTGATACAGAACAATTGAAAGTCGATCCTCGAATTTTTACATCGTGTTTGGACATGTGCAATTTGACACCAGAATTTTAAAACAGCTATATACAACTAGCCTTTGACACTTGACCCGGCAAAGGTGTACGGGTGTTTGTTCTATGGCGTATAGACGCCAGATATCCAAAACATAACACGTGACACATAACACGCAACGCATGTCACCTGTCACTTGACATCTGACATTTGACATTTGACATTTGACACATGCCACTTGACACCTGACACATGTCACTTGTCACCTGACACTTGACATATTACACTTGACACATGACATATGCAACCCAACTCTTGTAATCAGGTCAAACAAGCGAAGAGGCACGAGTATATGGATGCCAATTCTATGACGTGTACATCCGTGGCAGTCAGGTGAGTCATGTGCTTGTATTCAATCCACCGCCGACACAATCTATGGATCTCTAGACACTTATATTGAGATAAATTCAGTTTGTCACAATACTCTTCCTTCGCATGCACCTGTGCACATATTCACTAGTTCAAAGTAGAGGCCATGCTTGCCCGGATGACTCAAACCCTGGGTTTTATAATGCCGTCACCGACACCCGCGGAGGTACAACAACAGGTTCCACTGCAAGAGATTGCTCTCAATCTGGAGCCACAGGTACGTTAAAAGCTGTCCATTCGTTTGCAGGTGTCTGCATTATGTTCCATGTCTGCCGTTTGTGTATTCTTCAAGTATGTTCGCATTGTGCATTAAAACGGGCTGTGTTGACTTTACAAAGACGGGGATTCGCGACTATCGAGAACTTTGCGCATGCATATATGTGTTTGTCTCATGTGTATAGGGTAATTGTTATGTTTCTCTGCAGGGGATTGCTCTCAACTCGCAGGCACAGGTAGGTTAGAGCTTGTAAGTGTTTTGTTTTTGTCATCATACAAAGGCGCTGCTTCGCGATTATAGAGAAGTTTTGTACGTGTATGTGGATTGTTTTGTATGTGTGTGGAAAAGTTAGTATATTTGCCTGCTGAGATTGCTCTCAACCTGTAGCCACAGGTCGATTTAAAGCTGAAAATCTCTCTACAGGTACATTCGCAAGAATGATAGTTTGTGTCTATCTTGAGTGTGCTCATTACGTATCTTTATTTGCATGTTTATAGTGAGCATGTTGCTACAGGTAGGATAGCGTTTCAGAACCTTTGTTAATGTATACACAAGGACGAGACTTTCCAACTTTCGAGAATGTGAGTATGCATATGTGTGCGTATTCGCATGCGTAAGATGTTGATGGTTCCATTTTCCTTGCAGATGGCTCTCTATCTGAGACCGCAGGTAGGGCAGAGCTGTGAATCCTATTGCAACGTCATCAATGAACGGTGGTTGTGTGTATCAGTAGTGTACGCATCCATGTCTATGAATTTGTATTTGCATTTTTTTTGCTGAACGTGGCGGCACATAGTGGAGGGTAGAGCCACGAAGCCTCTAGACACTATCTTGACTGTGAAAGTTCTTCGTAATTGTCGAGAGTGCGAGTATGTATATCTTATGTTTATTTGCATGCACATGAAATGGTTTAATCTCTCTCTGGAACAGACTCAGTGACATTGACAGAATCCATTCTTTGATACAAACACTGACACTGATACTGACACGTTCAATCTGGCCTGTGCGTAGACCCGGTGCTTGTGCTGGATTTCCAGTCGTTGTATTTCAATCTGACGATTGCACGCAACCTATGCTACGGCACCTGCTTACACTGACACTGACATTGGCACTGACACTGATACTGATACTGACATTGACACGATCGCCGATTATATGACCACATGCAGTCTGGCCTGTACGTGAATCCGGTGCTTGTGCTGGATTTTCAGTCTCTGTATCCCAGTCTGATGATTGCGTACAACCTGTGCTACAGCACTTGCTTAGGTATGCATGTATCTTTGAAATAGTGTAGCAGATCTGATGGAAGAAGGGTAAACTTTTCAATTTTTGTAGTTTTGTGCATTCGTGTCGATGCGTGTTCATATATTTATTGATATGTCTTTATATCCAGTTAGGAGTAGCTGTGTTGGCCCTCCTTTACAGATGTCACGTACCTATTTTTATTTATAGGACTTGTATTGAATAAAATCATTTTGATAAGTTCTGTTTTCAACAAGACTAGAGGTCGACAACTAGAGTTGTCCCGAGCTTCACTCATATGTTTCCGTTTTGAGTCCGTGATATATGTGCATGCTTGAAAGTAAATGCCAATCCGATGATCCATATGCAGTTATACTACCCACACTCGAATATTTATGATTTGCGTGTTTTTCTGCCCATACTATGATATACATATCTGTATGGACATGCTTTTGATTTATATACTTTGCGTGGGCTGGTTGAGTGGTGTATGGGGATGGGTTTGAAAGCCATCTAATGCCATCAATGGAGCGAATATTGCAAATAAATTGCAGCACTATGACGCACCGCAGGCCTATTCTCTTGGTTACTGTACGCGACCCGGGGGGGAGGGAATATCGCAGATCAGAAAGCTGATCTCAATTTACAATTTGCTCTCCGGAAATGGCTCAATTTAAATTCTGAACTCCATTTTATCACTGCGTTTGTCATTAAACTTTACGCGTAGGACGTATTGCTAATCTGGAGAGACCTGATGGCAAGCTGGGGCCGTTCATTTACGATCCGCCCGCAAATCTGGTGCAAAATTTCAAGGTATATAGTATAGCGTGAAGAATATAAACTGCAAATAATTTTATTTGCGTGCATGCATTCAATGAAAACCTGGCATCCTATTGTTCCCCGAATCTGGTGCGAAATTCCAATGTGTGTGTATGAGTGTGCAGGATACCGGTTGCACGGTTCTATATTTATATATATATATTTATATATATGCGACTGTGAATGTTTATACTCCTGGCATACGATTAACCCACAAATCGGATGCAACATTCAAGATGTGTACTTGAGTGTGCAAAATATCAACTGCAAATAGTTTTATCTGTGTTTGTGCATTAGCATGAACTATAATATTAACCCGCAAATCTGATGCAAAATTTGAAGATGTGCTTTGGTGTGCAGAATATTGCAAATGGTTCTGTACGCGTGTATGCATTGTTTATAAACTTGGCATACGATTGACCTGCAAGTCTGGTGCAAAATTTAATGGAGTGTGCTAACTATGTGATATTTGAGCTACACACGATGCTATGTGCGCATATATGTCATATTTTTATTATATTTGGCGCTATGATGGCATTTGTCCAATGTCAGTTGTTTTGTTTGTCAGTCTGTGCTATGTTACTTGACCTCGAAACCTGACGTGTGCACTTAGATTTTGAAATTAATAGGGATTCGAGTTTTTTTACGTTCCTCGTAGCAGGGTAGTATCGCACTGGGTATAAGGGTGCAAATATAGGGTACTGGTCATGGCAGTTGCACAGTATATGTTTTTGTATATATATACATACATACATATATATATATATGTCTGAATTACATTTGTGTGTACTTCAAATTCTCCCTTGAGCTACTCAACAAACAAAAACCTAGGCTCGCCCACGCCCCGACGAGAAGTCTATAGTGAATCACTCTCAAATATACTAAATTTTCGAACTAATCCTTTACGTCCTTTTCATTTTTTCATTGCATTATGCCACTTAAATATCGCTTTAGGAGAATGTCCTGGTGACCCCAAACGGTGTGATGTTTGTCAAGCCAGGTATGTTCATGGGTGTTCGCATCACATTATCAGAAAAATAAATCTCCCTACTACTTATTGGCAGCTTTCGAACTATCCTACTGCATAGGACTGGCTTACTACAAATATATCCCTGCTACTTACGTCTATGCACTATGTTGCGTACATTTTGCCACCCAACGTCTCGTGAACTGCAATACGAGTACATAGGTTTAGAAAGATTTACGCATCATACGCATGCCTATATATA